AAAGATTATTAATATAATCAGTAAATTCCTGTAATTTGTCCTCACCTAACGTCCAAAAATCTAGGATATCGTCCCTATATCTCCACCAGCAAGATGGTTTTATACTACCTAACTTAGCTAACTTATCTATTTCTCCCATCGCTAAATCCGCATAACTACAAGCATTGCTTAGACATCTTTCTGCTGTTGTTTGTTTCTTTCAAATCTTTTGCGTTAAAGTTGGCATTATTACCTCTTGCTCCATCATTTTCGTCTTCAAATGGCCCATCTGTGTCATCTACTTGCTCGTTGTTCTCTATGGCCAACTGTTCTCTTATGTCTCTCAGTCCTCTTGCTTCATCTAGTTTYCTTTCCCAGTACTCTCCTCCTCCATGTACAAGTACTCTTGGTGCTCTCAGTAAGTATATCAACAGGTTCATAAAGTGATCTTCATCCATCACTGATCTCACTGTAATCTATAATATAAAATTGCTTTTTAGTTTTTTATGGTTTTCTGTGTCAAAGGATGTTTATTCTTAATACCTGAAGTCCTAGGTATCGCAGTCTTCTATGTAATGTGGAATCTGAAAACGATCTGAACGGATTTCCCGATCTTCCTGCAGTTACGTTTGGAATACCTGCATCAGCCCTTATCACTACGTGTACATGGTTGCCATGGATACGGCAAGCTTCGTCGCTATGGTGATTAAACATGACGTAATCGTCGTGTCCGAGCACTCTCCGAAGTTCGTCGTGCAGACTCCGGAAGTCAGCTACCATCACGTGGTAATACATCGGTACTTGTGCCATTTTCACACAGAGATGTGCACTCTATGACTGCCAGTGGCAAATGACTGCTGACCTGAGCCGACAGTCTCTTATATAGTAAACCCCTGTGACGTCATGATTCGTCAGTTTACGTCATTGGTTGTCATGGTAACAGATCACGTGACAAAATTCTTTGAGCAAAAAAATTTATTCAACAAATGTTTTACAATTCAAGTTTTGCTCGCTTGGTTGGTACATGCAGACTAGCCATCGCTTCTGCTGCTTCTCTTTCAGCTGCTCTCCTCTTCTCCATTGTCCTCTCTCGCCCCTCCAGCCTGGTCTGTTGCTTCTTTACGGCTGCATTTATCGTTGGGATCAAATGCTTTAGTTCTTCGTACTCTTCAGGGTCCAATGCAACTCCCCACTTAGTAAAGATTACATCTCCTTCTTCTTCTTCGTTCTCGATTACTTTTCTTATGTGGATCTTTGTCTCTCCTTTAAAATCGTTGACGAATACACAGAAACCTCTTGTTCCAATCTTGTTCATCTTTTGTTCTTTTCCCTTAAGGTTAGGAAAGTGACTATAGTAAATCTTCTCTTGAACTAATGCTTGAGCTATTCCTATCATTACTGATACATTTTTAAAATTTTCATTCCCTTATATACCCTTTTAACTTGAGCCCGCGAGACTTGAAAAAACTAAAAGTGACACAAAGATTCTCCATAGCTAGTTGCAGCGGCGGCGTGACGTCACGCAGCGGCGGCGCTGCATTGCCGCCGTTACGGCGGCCTCCAGCTTGTTACGTCACAAGCGTGACGTCACGCCGCCGCTGCAACTAGCTATGGAGAATCTAACGATGTTCTCTATAAATTACTCTAAGTCAATAGATCCCAATAATCTAAATATATTAGTTACTTATTGTGATCAGTGAACTGTGAATGAAGTCTTATTTGTGTGCCATAAATAAAATTCTTATCAACCCATAGGTTGTAATGATTATGTTAATTT